TGTTTGGGTGCGGGGTGGTGGGGGGGGGGGGGGGGGGGGGGTAAAAAAAAGAAAAAAAAAAAAAAAGGAGAGGGTCACAATACTCCGACTTCTTTCCCTCCCCCGCCCAGCGCCGCGGCGGGCAGCCAGGCTGAGGTAAATAAAGCCAAGATGGCGGAGAGCGCCCCCCGCGGCGGCCGCTCGGGAGCTGGGCGGGAAACCTTCCCGCCCTCATCCGCACCGGGAGAATCCCATAGCAAAACCTCCGCCGCCTCCATCTGAGGAGGTATCTACCCCTTTGCTTCCCAAATAAATTCAGCTCTCGCTGAGACGACCCATACTTGTGTGTTTAAGACAAGGGAGCCTCTAGTCTCCCACCTACAGAGTTATTAAGGCAAGTCCTGTGCAGTCGCACTACAGGGGCTGGGGTAGTTTCTCAAGGGTGAAACGAGCTTCCACCTGGATGTGGATTGCACCAGGACTTTGCTCTGCTGAACTAAATACCTTTGAGAAACGCTTGTGACTGAGGAGGCTATTGAACGGTGCGTGCTGCTTTGAAGAACAGTTTATGTATGTGGAAACCAAAGGTAAATTACCTATTAATACCTGTTCACATTCATGGGAGATGTAATGAACGGGTTAACTTTGTTCATGAAATCGAGAAGGGTGAAGAGACATATTGAGAGTTAACATATGCCTTGTGTAAATAACAAAAACTTGCTTAAGTGATGCGTGAAGGTCACGGGTCACAGGAGGAAAGCAATGGCTATAACTTACTAGATAAGGGGGAGAAAAGCAATGACTATAACTTACTAGATAAGGAGAGGAAGGACAACAGCTGCAATTAACAAAGACTGTATTTCTCCACATCAAAAGACATTCTACATCAAAGGATACTCATCCTTGAGAAAATTTACCGAATCTACATAGTAACAGACCTGCACAAATGAGGAAAGAAGAAGCAGGACAAGGCGGAGACTTACAAGAAAGGGGGTACATGAAATGTATATAAGGAATGTAACGGTAACATAAAGTTGCGGGCCTGTGGCGGAGCATTGCCTCCCCGGCCGCCCAGTGCTGTTTTGCTCTCTTATCGCTTGCTAATAAATTCGATTTTTTATTCAATACAAATTGGCTCCTCCAATTTGTCACGAGCGTTTATAACAGGAGACAGGCTGGAGAGCTACATTTTTGAAGCTTTTTAGGAGGCAAGCCACCGCTATGTTCTCAGAGAACCAGACATTAATTTGGAGATTAATTAGAGCTGTCTTCTACTTTTAAGCATTTCACTGTCTTCTGCCAAAAGAACAGGTTAATGCACAAAACCAACAAATAATCCCCTTCAAGAACTACAGATGGTAGTGGAGAAACAAACCCAGGCCATGTGTGAAAGCGGACATCTTTGCACCCTCAAAACCCAGCCCAAACCCCACGTGTGTTCTTCCGTATTGTTCCAGAATTTAACAGATCCTGGACTTAACCACCTCAACTCTCCTGCAGCGCGTGGTCCTGTACGGGTACATCTGTGTTACTGTTCAGTTGGATCAAGGTGTCTTTTGAGGGGAAGCTTCTGATCACCTCCACTTGCTCTGCAGAGGAGTCGCCAAGCACGTCAGCTGGATTCCCTCTGGATGAAGCCTAATGCACTCCAACAGAGGTCTAAAAATTGTATACCAGGTTTCAATACTACACCAACAGCCAGCAAGAATATCTTTGAAGCTTAGTGAAAACATTCACTTGAGCGGATCTTTTTCAATACTCTTACCGACAGTCGTCTGCCAATCCCACCACATTGCAGAGGCTGTGTTTCATCTCCTACTACCACTGAAATACTTTTAATTTTTCTACATGTGATTTGATTACACCCTATTGCAGCATATCATCACATTTTGTGTTGCTGAAGAATGTAAGACATAGCAGCATAAGGAGGGTTGTCCCAGAAAAAAAAATTATCAAGCAGTTTATGGAAAGAAGTAAACTACTACAAAACACTGCAGCAGATTATTGTGAATTACTCACCTCTTTAAGGCAGGCTGCCTGGATATGATCTTTTACTAAAAAAATCTGCAATTTGAAAAGATTATTCCCTAACAAGTAGTATCCATAGGTGCAGTAGACTGATTTTATAAATGTAGGATATACTACAGAATAAATTATTCCTTTCATTACATTTAAGAGTATTCAAGTTTTGACATGATAAATTTAATTTTAAATGGGGGGGGTTATATTGAAGAGGAGGTGCCTGAAAACTTGTTTTTCTTAAAATCTAAGTCTCATACATTCCTTTAATTGAAAAATGCTTCTAAAGAAAAACAAGTCATACTGAAGACAATACATGACTGGGGTTTAATATATTGTCAAGTTTTGTATTAACAAAAATAAATACATAATATATTTTTGAAAGGTTGGTTTTGAGTTTTGTTTTTTTAATAGAACAAAAGGTATCAAGAAAGAAAACACTATGACAAACAAAGGACAAGTTCTACTTACAAGAAACTTCAGCAAGATTCTCAGAACTGTTTTTAAAAGCGATTTCAGTGATCTATTTCTGCACATCCTGGTCACTTAGGTGTTTCAACACTACATTTTATATTTGAAAGAAGTATTGTGACATCCAATAGCTTACCTATGTTATGACTGAAATACACTGAACATAACATGTGGGAAACACTGTCTGTTTCAAAGACGTAAAGTCAAAGCTGAAAACACGTTATACAACTAAGTGAAAATCCAGGTAAGAGGACATTCAAGGAAAGGAGAACAAAAGTTAAGACAGGGTCTTAATCTTTTCTTACCTAATATAATATTCATTCATCTCACTCTTAGCTGAATAATTGGAACAAACATTTTACTAAACTCAGTTTTCTTTAAGAACTCTGAAAAAAACACCTTTCCAGTACTAGAGATTGAGATTTCTTCTAGGGATTTCCACATCTTAGCTTGTTACTAACAAAGAATCACTAAATTTCACTTTAAAGTACCATAGCAGGAAATGTTAGAAATTACAATGGTAACTCCAATGCAATATCTTATGACACTTCTCTTCAAAAAAGTTCACACCTGTACCACTTCCTGAGTGAATAGGAGGCATGAAATTCAAAGACTTAGAAGTCCATCAGTGTAGCACCTTAATTTGTAAGACATTAAATAATAATATAATGAACAATCTCTGCTTTTTTGAGGTGTCACAGTAATACAAAGATAAAGATAACAAGTCTTTTGCTGGAATTCAGTATTGAGTAAAGCAGGTGGAATGGAAGGTTTGCCTGAGTCACATACCAGCGCCTTAGCACAAGTATTTTCACCAGAAATTTAAGTTGAAATGTAAACTGGAGTGGGACTCACTGAGGGAGGAACATGCTTTTCTACTCGTTTTGCAAAGTGTGAGGAGTTTGCTATACTACTAACACCAGTAGTAAATTTCAAATTTCAAAATTCTAACTGCGATGTAAGTGCTCAGTGCACATAAACATTGGAACATGTCACTGAGGAAGCAGCTTGCTTTCAGGCTCTAGAGCTAGATCTATGCTGTGGGGTTGCAGTACTAATTAGGGAATACACAGTCCAATTCCAATGTACCTAGCTCAGCACTGCAACGAAGTTGTGGGAGCATCTTGCAAGTGGATGCTGTGACGTACTTCACATTTGGCAAGAGCTCCAGGTAAACATCCTCAACAGTAACTCACTATACTCCTTCAAATCCTTCCTTAAAAATTTATTTTTCATGATACATCACCAAAATATTTGCCTAGCTTACTGGTATACTACAAGTGTCTACTACACTAACGTTTCTCTTTTGTGTTTTATAGCAATACCCTTATATACTAATCATCTTTGTCCAACATCTGTGGCAACAACTGCCTATTTTTTGTTTTGTGCTGATACAGCTCCAAATCTAGCGGCACCCTAGTCCACTACTGGGACTCAGTCATACATTCATACAAAGAATCACATTAAAAATAGCTCAAGCAGACTCATCAGGCAACATTCACACCCCTGCAACGCAGACATAGCCTAAATGGTCTAAGAGGGATATAGACTAAAAACCTGTATTCCTTTCAGTTAAAAAACAGTAGCAGCCTGATGAGCAGCCAAACAGTATTTTTTCTGCATACACATTGTAAGTTAATGTTTCCATGAGGGATGAAGTTTAAGTATATACACAGTTCCCTCATGAACCTTTTGAAGTGTTCACATGTATTCTGGGGAAAAAAGAAGAAACAAACTGAATGTTTTCTGTTCTTCATCAACATCCACATCTTTATTCCTTGCTTCACTGACAGCCTGACACCTCTTCCAATAACAGTTAAAGAGCTCTGCAACATGCCTCAGTATTGAAACAATGCAACTTCAAGTCATCCTGACATTTTACAAAACTACCACCTTTACTTAGAAAGATTTGGCATACTTTGCAAATAGTTGGCGTATTACAGAAAAGTGCTAAAGAAATAGTTATATATCTGTTTATTGTACCAATAAAAAAAGGCAAGAATGTGCTGCCATAATACTTTCCCAGTGAAGAAACAGGAAATACACTGTTTAGAGCAGTGTCCTTAACTGGATCCAGCAAGATACATTGAAAGCTATTTATAAAACATGAGTGAATGAATCAACAATCCTGACAGAAGAGAGAGGGGGATTACAGTGGTCTGCAAATAGAGAAAACACAACAAAAAAAGACAACAAAAAAATCTGACTTCATAACAGCAATGTTGTCTTCATGATGTGGGTTTTCAGATTTTGATATCAGGATAATAAGCAGTGAAGAAGCTGGCCAGGAAGTCATTTCACTTTATGCCACCATCTGTCTATCAATGCTTTTAAGCTAGCTTTCTGCTAGTTCTGCAAGTACTTGGGAAGACCGAAGACCCACAAATTTTTGTTTGTACAGTTTCTAATTTGAAAAAAAACAAAACCAAACCCCAAACATAAAAACCTGTCTAGCCCCCAAGGTGATGGTAAGTGGTATTTGTGTGTAAACTGACTTTGTTTTTAAAACACACTTAACTGGCTTATGTTTTCCAAGCTTATGTCACAAGTACACCATGTACTGTGTTGTAACAAATTAACACAAAAATATTTTCAAAGACATCTTTTGAACGAAAATGTTTAAAAGTATTTTACAAAAATAACATAAAATAAATTACTTTTTTTTTTAAAATGAACAGCTATAAAATCTATGAACCAAACAACATATAACATTGACACAAGATGAAGCATATTCCACTAAAGGCCAGTTAATTACCACAGTGGTATGAAGCTTCAAGTAAATTACTAGGCACTTTTTGCCCAAACAGTAGTCACTCATTCAGTGGAAAAGTCCAACTGATGGAAACACCTGAAACGTAATTGCTAAAACTTTCTAAGATTCTAAATTCCTCAAAAAAGTGCAGATAAAAAGGCCAAGACAGAAAGGCCAGGTATTATGCCACACAGGGCACCCAATGTTAGCCACCTTCCTTACATGACTGTGTTCAGCTTAGTTGGGAGTTCCAAAAATGGAGTTAACAAGTCAGCCTTCTCCATTTTACGTGGGCATTTCTATTAAGGCTTTACATGTCAGAGTAGAGAGAAGCAATAGCAGCTCCAGACACACAGGAAAACAGATAAAAAGAAAGGCTGCAGGGTTGTACGTGAGCAGGTAGAAAGTAGCAGAACAGACTTGAACTTCACTCTATTTCGAGAGCACTCCTTGCTTGCAGAATACCAAGCAGTAATACATGTTGTGCTCTCTACCAGCCAATTTGTAATGGTGTAAATGACCCCAGCACCACAATCCAATATCCTCAAGATCCCCAATACCTAGAAGCTCGATCTTCCAGCAAACAAAAGAAGGTACTGTCGTGGGAATTTAAGTACCAGTAAGATGCATGAGCTACTATGAAAAATTGCTGTTAAAATACCTACTATCATAATGAATACAAGGGCAATAAAGGTCAACTAAAGCAAGAAATTACGTATTTCAAAGTACTTTAAAAAGCATTATTGATATTTAGTATACTTAAGTATATTAATATACCTAAGTATATATAGGTATATTAATATACTTAATATAAGATTGTATTAATTTAAAATGTAAAACTTTTAGAAAGCAGCAGTTTGTGGCATGATTTTAAAGCACTGTTTTTTGGGAAGAAAAGCATAGCACTGAGTAGTCCTTAAGAAGTCATGTCATATCAATTAGGTGCAAAGTTCTCCAGCTGGAAGACCAGGTCTACAGCAGCATCAACATCTGGTACAATATGATCTGGTTCTACTAAACCAGGATCAAATCTAAAATCTCTGTGGCCATGGAACACCGTTTCAGTTATGCTCTCCCTGGTATCCAAGGGAACCTTGGCGTGAGGGTTGTAAACCCCAGTACAAACAAGAACAGACCTACAGTGGGCAGCTGCTGCAGATGCTAATTCATTCTCCCAACTGTTGTCTATTTCATCATCCTGAGAGAGAGTGGCAGATCCTCTGCCACCAGCAACTTTGGCCTGAATCCGTGATTTTGAACCTTTTCTGGAGTTCTCTTCAAGATAGCGATTGTAAAGGTTAGCACCATACACATCAGTCATGAGATTATCTCTGGAAAAGTAAGAAGAAACTTTAGTCAGCAGTGCAATTTTAGTTGTCAAATTTTAATGTATGAAAGACATTTTTACAGTTTTGCCTTAACAGTTTATTTTATACTTTACATAACTTTTATGTAGAAGTATGCAGATAGGAAGAAATCCAATCCCATAGCTATTTTATTACACCATTTTCATTAAGCATTAACTATGATAAAAGTGAGTAACTCTCCATATTGAAATTGCCGATTGGAGCAGAGGCAGGGGAAATCAAGGGTAGGTATTAGCAGTCCATGAATGAGCTTATTGTATTTCCAAACATCTTGGAGATTCTGGAACAGTCTTTAATACAATACAGCTTTATCTCTTTCTATGAAAAGGATTCTATGATGTGACAGCACATGCAGTAGCATATGACCAAGCTTAACAACCTCACAAATAAATTCTAGCTCTACATTCTCCAATAACTGTCATTTACTCAAAGCTTGTTGGTGTTATACCAGTAAACCTAATAAAACAAACACCCATGCAAATCTTTTTTGTTAGATTTACACAGCCTATTACAGAAATTTAAAAAAAGTAATTAAAAAAATTGGGAGAAATCTTAGTTGCATATAAACCACTTTTTGTGCTTCAAAAGAAATTACACATGGAAGGAGCAAAGTATTATTAATTTTCAGGATTAAAAACAGTGAGGCTCAAAAACATTATAAAAAGTACGCCATACCACCAAGGCTGTTAGGTAGTCCCAATATTATCTGAGAAACAAACTAGTATGAGTTGTATATTTTTCTTGTTTTTCTTTGCTGGTACTTATGTTGCAAGTAGTTTCCTCCTGTACTTGTTAGACTTCTGATATCTTACCCGACTGCATAAAGAGTTTGAATAGGTTGCTTCCACTGCCTTTCTGCTGCCTGAGCCCTGATGAGGTATTCTGCATACTGGTAGGTCAGTTTACTAGGTTTGCCCATTAAGACCTCATATTTCAGATCTTTGCCAGTGATTTTCTTGTAAATGTTTTCCAAACAAACCATGAATGTTCCATGCCCAAACCTACACAGATATAAGGACAAATCAAATGATATTAAGTACACATAAAAAAAGCAAAGCTTTTTTATTTCATGATCTTTTAGGAATAAATCATATCCTGTAACTATCAAATTTCCCTCAGTTTGCACACAACATTTCCACAGCTGTTTCACTGAAAATTAAGTGCTGATTAGCTGAACAATAAATGCCACAATAAAAACCTGTAATTGGGACAGCATAACAGATTTACGTATTTTTAAAACGCAGCAACGGTTTGTGGTAGCGTTACTTGCATTTAAGTAGATACCCTAGTTACAAAAGCGATGCTTATGAAATAATGCCTAACCTGTAATCTACTCTCTGCATTGACTTAACAGAATCAGCTAAATTAACAAAGAGGCAAAACGGAAAAGGAAAGTTAGTCAGACAGGAAGAAAATTGCTCCCTCCTTAAACACAAGAGTATACCGAACCCCACTTGCAATATGGAAACAAAAACCTTTATTGGTTTCTCTAAAAAAATTAGATGCAAAGGAGGATCAAAGAATAAGCTATAATTTTACGGCATGCTTTTGATAACTCAGTTATTTTGATCAAGGTGCAAACAGTGATGATGGATCATCAACTAAGCCTGTAAATCAGTAATTTAGAAGACGTAATCTCATGATGAAAGAAAGCAGTTTTACTTCATTACTGAAGTCAGGATGTGGGATTAGGGATGAACTAATACATACCACTTGAGAAATACCGAATTACCAAAACAGCCCGAACAAGAATAAAAAGTTGCTATACAAGAATTCTTTATACAATAAATTACACATACTACTTAACAAGAGCTGCTAGGCAACTTCTAATGCACCTAGATTAGTATATCTGCTCAAACCAGGTACCTATAGCCTAAAAAAACCTAAAATACCAGTATAATGAGCATCAGAAGCCAGTAGAGATAATACAAGGTGTACTAACAAAGAAACTAAGTCTCTAATGGCCTAGAAATCAAGTCTTTTAAGGAAAAAAGCTACAAAGAAGGAAGCAGCTGTAGCACTTTCAAATGTGGTACAGAATTAGCTTTTGTGAATTCTGAATTAACCCTTCATTCCCTCTCTCCACCCTGCTTGTTGCTTTGTATTATGAACTAATACCAACAAATAAGCATAAAATTATTTCCAGTAATTATTAGCAACAGCTTAAAACAACTTAGTCATGGCATTATATTCCAATAGTGAAGGTAATGGCACTGACGGATGCAACCTTGTCACGCTGTCAAAGGAAAAAATGAACTTTATACTGGATCTTTCCCAAAGGACACAACTGAAACTACATATCTTATTCACTGTAGATACATTGGTTGCCTTTCTGTAACCTGAAACTATCACACATAGGTCTTTTGCCAACGTGCTAATCAGAGGTTGTCTTTGCATCCAAGTAAGGGTATCTGACAAGACCTTCACCCAAGATCAAGGCAGCAATCAAGTCGAAATAACAATTTCTATTTCAGTCTATGCTCTAATTTTGGACAAGTGGGAAGGGAGGGGAAACAAAACTATTAAAGAACTATCTTCTATTGAAAACAAAATCAAACAAAACCACTATCAGAGATCATGCCACCTTGTTCTGTGTGTTCTACTTGTTTTTTCTTACATTCCTTAAAGACCTCACTATATTGTCCTCAGCTCAAAAACACTCACTGCTTTCAACTAGCAGGGTCAATTCTTTACCCTACCAGAAACTGTAGGGTGGAAAAGAGAAATACCAAAGAAGGACCTAATGAAATGAAACAATGGCCTTGATAATTTTTTCATTTTTTCCTTTGAACTGAGACTCTGAGGCCCTCAGGCAAAAACCTATCTTTCCCCACTCTTCTGGGAGTGGGGAAACAAAAAGGTTTAGGGCTTAAAAGCAGTTTTTATTTCGAGTAACTGATTTCCTGCATGCAATAACATAGACAGTAATAAGGCAGCATTTGCTGAAAGTGCGTTGCTTTAGAGACCTTGCATTCAAAGCTGAGACTTACTGCGAAGCTATAGTAAGCATTTTGCGTAAAAGTATCGACTCTGAATTTTACTGAAGAAACAAGGAAACCCCAAATATATCCGATATACATACATGTTATAATTGCACTTACCTTGGAGACTGTGCTTCAGCTACCCACATCAGATCCATATTACAAGCAAGTACAGGAATGTGAGGGTAATTTTCACGGTGATATGGATTTCCAGGATAGCCACTTGTCAGCAAAACATCTATTATCAACTGAAGGTTGGTTTCCCATCTGACAGGCTCCCCAAACAAAACAACAGCTATGAGCACAAGAATTAAAAAATAGATTTATAGAATTAGTTAACAGGGCACCAAATCTCTGACACTAAAACCTTGTCTGAAGAGACTGAACAAGTAATTTGATTTAACCATGAACTGATTAAATAGTCACATTAACTTTAACTTAGGGTTTTAATATATTACATACCCATTCATTCACAGAAAATCTCAGAAGTAACAAGACCCCACTGCAAAATCTACAGGTTTAAGAATTTGGGCCTTTTTTTAATTGGCTAAGTTTCTCCACAGCACCACAAAATATTAACTTCTAAATTGTATTTCTAAGTCTTTCATACCTTTGTGAATTCTATGTTTACATACAGTATTTAAATAATCCATCAGAGATGTTATTTTGTTCATCTTAAAACAAAATTTGAACATTGTTTTTAGACATTTTTCTGGTCTCCAGCAATAATCTGACATGGATTTTTTGAAATCCTAAAGTCCAGTTTCTACCTTCCTGTACTTCAGATGAGATGAGAGTGAATACAGTGTGCTGAAACAAGATGCTTCTCGTACTACAACTCTGAAGTGACCATCCTGACCACTGTAAAAACAAGACCGATTATTTCTGAACACGTCAATTCACTCCTCATTTTTGAAAGGAAGGCAACAATAGCCTATTAAAGGAAGATAAAAAGGAAAGCAGACTGCCCCTACCTTCTGAAACTTCAAAAACACATGGCTGAAAACTGCGCACATTAAAAAAAAAAACAAACCAGCTTTATCACACGTGATACATTCCAAATTAATGGCAGATGCCATTAACAAAGAAATTTTAGAATTGTCTCAGCCAACTTTCTGAAGTGCCCAGCAATCTAAAAATAAATTCTAATTATAGAGGACAATAAAGATATTTCATCTATAAATGGATAGTTGCAAGTTAAATAAAGATAACTGACCCTCAATCTTGGGAAGCTCCACAGCAGAGGGGTACTGCAATAAGAAAAAAAATGAACGTTTTCTACAAGATTAGACATCTACTACTATTTTTTAACAGAATAAATTCAAGTATAGCTCCCACGGTTGTCTTCTGCAACACTGACAGGAAATGCACTCTCTATTTTGGTATATACCTGACGTCAGTTTACTTAGAAACTTGAATTTCAATTCTGAAGTGAAATCTCGTGGCAAATGGATAGCAGATGAGTTAGCGTGTTCTACATTCGCTAGCCTCCTACATCTATTTAACCTCCTCTGGCAAACTTCAGTTGTTTAATTTACTTGTGTATGAAAGTATGGATGTTTATTTTTCTACCAGAGTAAGAGGCCTCTAGTATTAACAAGATATTTGAAAAATAGTTTTTGAAATGTATTTCTTTAACACTGCTAAGAAAGAAAAACACATTGTATAACACATAGTACATTTTCTAAGCAAATAAGAGTTTCTACTTCATGATTTACTCCCTATGGTGACAAATACGTTAACAGTTTCTTGAACTTCTACATCTGCATGGTTGAGAAGCAAGGCAAAAGGTGATATAACTGAGTTATGGATTCTATGAACCACAGAGAATTTCTTGACTTCACATGGGAAAAATCCACTCTATACACTGACCCTGAATATGTACAATACACGCATGTATTTATTGTGTATGTATCCACTTTTTGAAATTCTGCACAATTCCGTTGAAATCGTACTGTACGTACTGTTAATATTTAAATACATTTAAGTAATGGTATAAACAAGAAAGGGAGTCCTTTGGAGAAAAATTAGTTATCTGCAAAGCATTAATTTACAATCAAAGCAACCTCATGGCCTAGAAACAATACCAAGACAATCCTATACTGAAGGAAAAAGCTTATTTTGTCTTCCACACATCTGAGGAAGCTAATAAGCTTTCCAAGACAGATTTTGAATTAGGTATCTGTACTAAATTATAACTTTTCCCACAACAGTAAGTTACAAAATCAAAGATTATGTTAAACAATTACCACTGATAGAAAAAAAAAAAGTCTATACAGTTTTTCTTGAAAATCCTGTAATAAAACAAATGAGGCAGCAGAAAAGCAAAGTCAAAGTACATTGTAAGAACAACAGCATTAGCTTGGTAGTTCAAATATTGACCCCTATTATAGAATGTCATCTAATGAGCAAACAAAGAATTTTAAAACAAAAATATATACTTACCAGAACATTAGGCCTTCTATCATGGTCAACTACATCTAGCAAAGGGTGTTTCTCCCGCAATGTTTCAATGGTAATAGGCTGACAGAAACCAAGGCTGGGAAAATACCAGTTAAGGATACAGAATTGCTTCTATTAAAAGATTTAAAAAATTGGCAATTCCATTTTAACAATTCTAACATATGCAGTTTATCTGGTAAAGCAAATTATTTAGGAATGAAAGCAATATATCAAAGACTGACTTTTACTTCTGTGAGATAAAAAGATGATCATCCCATTACTTATAAATGGGAGACCTGTGTGTCTGAAATCTTAAGACAAAAATTATACATAAATCTTTCTTAAAATATGATATAAAAAGCAAGAAGCCACTCTAGACCTGCAATACTCTGAGATCATCTCTACAGAAGCACAAAAAGAAGTTCATCTGGCAGCAAGACAACATCTTGTGTAATTATTATAGGAAAGAAATATGAGCTAGTTGAGGAAAAAATACAGTCTCCACAAACTGTGCTTTCCTTAGGCCATTATAACTGCAAATGTATTGCTAGATAAACAAACACCATAAAGCTCAGTCTTTTGCAAAATGGTGAACTGACCAATCAGGTTTAATTATGCTCTAAAGGGAGTTAAGATAAATACTGAAACACATCAAAAAAGGAAAGGACCAAAAGGGGAAAAAAAATAACCTCACGATTTGCATGGTAGTGCTCTTAAATGCTGATATATCCCAATAATTTAAACTTGGTTAACAAGAGGTAATCAAACTAAAACTGCTCGTTTATGTAAAAAAGCAGTTGTTGCTACTCTCAATACTAGCAAATTCTTACCATGCAAATGAAAATAAGAGCTATTTACATATATCACTTATACAAACTAAGCCACCTGATTTTATATTGGAATTAGCACCACAGGCCATTTGTAAAGTCATTTTAAGACTAGATTATCCCATACAAAAATGCTATCTAACAGAAATATGTTTTTTATATTTTGTATTCAGCCTTGTAACATACTTTTCTCTTACCCATGCCAAACAGATTTTGACAGTTAACTGGAATATTCCTTCAGTGACATTTTTTCATCTTTGTATTTGACATAAAGCTTATACTTCAAAGTTGCATATACATTTTTTACAACTTATAACTTACACAAGCTTTAATTAAAGTCCCAATAAAGGAAGAAGTGCAGAACGAAAATTATGCAAAAGTTAAGATCATTAAATTACAGTTTGAAGCTTTGATACCACCATTATATCAACATAATTCAAGTTCTTTTTGGCAGTTAGTATAGAAGCGGCAAAATATCTTCAAGCATAGTTCTACTTTAGATGTTGGCTACAAAAAGAACATGACCTGGCCTGGCCGCACACTTAAAAGCAAATCTTGAGCCACTGAGCTAAAAGTCAGATGTGATAAATAACAGATAGAATGTCAGGCTCTCATCCTCAAGGGAGCACAAACCCTTTGTGCTAAAGTGTCATTTGCAAATGAGTCAAAACCATAACTCTTTCTCTTTTTTCCTTCCTCATTAAAAACACATAGAACAAAGTGAAGCAAATATCAGCATACCAACCGTTTCCAAAACATAAATTTGACATCATAGTAAGAACTACCATTGCTTATTACTGGATTTGTAGTGTTGAAATGTTTGGTTTTCACTTGATTCACAGGATCCCCTGAACTTGACTAAGGAAAATACTTAAACAGAAAGGTTTGTGGGTTTGTTTGTGTTTGGTTTTTTGTTTTTTTTTTAAAGATACTCTCGAGCAATATCAAGAAGTGGTCCTTGTCCAGATACAAGAACACATTTTTCATGATAACGTTTGAACATCCGCAGAGGACTGTGTGACATCATCACTTGTTCTTGTGAAATCTGTTTGGGATTTAAAAACAAAAGGAGTCTGTTGTTTTTCAGGCAAGTTTATATGTAGATTTAGTTAACAGGTGTGACAAATTCTGTGAATTACAACATAATCATACATATCTACCTAAAACCCTGCCATATCATTTCCTCCTAAGTTTCACAGATGACGTATTGATAATATGCCAGAAAAAAACACATTACTGACAAATCGTCATAGACACCCCTTTCAGCTTCCAGAATTACTCTATTCAACATGAACACCAGGTTTTCTCCCCTAGTTTTACAGAATCACCAAATGCATTTAGAAAACAAACAGGAAAGAAGAATCAGAACTGCCCTAGTTCCAACTGTGGTGCCTTTGCTAGACTGCAGCAACTGATTTAACTGTATCAGAAGACTTTGTTCTTTTAGTTTACATATCCCCATTCCTTCAATAGGTATAAAACCACTAAAATTATTTGCCTGGAAGTATGCTATTATGAATTGCTTCTTACCACCTTTACAGATCTAAAAACCTCAAAAATAATTGAGATGTCACTTTACCCATGACACACAGGATGTTATTGATACAGATACGCCCACACCTGCTGGCCCTTAAGGAAACAAAGGGCACTGCAGAACTGACTTTATGGCTTTCTCTTAGTAAGGCCCAAACACAGTCTTCAACAACAGAGAAGTCCTACTGCCTGCTGCGCCCACAAATCAGGGGGGGATAAAGTTTTGCCACTCGTATCGAAAATAGGCAGGAAGCTCCCGTCCTGCACATTATCACAGAAGACATTCAGCTTGCTAGAGCAGAGTTTCATGTTGCTGGCACGCACATTTTTTTATTCAGAAGGAGAAGGCAAGATTTATTCCCACGATAATAATGTTGCAAAGAAACACCATCACCATTAGCTTTACCATTGGAGAAATCAGTACCTTTACCAACGGAAATACCATTAGCTTTGGACAGCATTTTTTACTTTTATAATACCTCCAGCAAAGCATTTCAGGGGGCTTAAGGGAAGAACAAAAGTGATTAACTGAGCAGCATTTAATAGAAGGTAATATATTTTGACACATTCACTGTAAGTAAATAACTAAATAAACAGCATTTAAGCTACTCACTGGAACTCCCAGTAGATGAGATAACTGATCAGCTTTTTTCTGGCGAAGGCAATTCCCTGCATTGGTGACAAACACTACAGGCACCAAGAATTGTCCCTGAGAATTCACTAGCTTTTGAAAGGCTGTTTTTGCAGCAGGAATTGGAGTCTTTCCTCGTACCAGTACACCATCAATGTCAAAAAGAAAACCAAAGGATGGCAGTATGTTGAGCTGTAAGAAAGAGTTGAAAAGAAAGAGTACATTAGTTATGCCCAGACTTACACACGTTTGATAAAGCTTACAAAAGCTAAAGCCCAATGAAAACAGACGCCTCCACAGAGAAGGAATGGATCTTTAACTGCACATTTTAATGCATCTTATATTCATATGCTACAATACCTACTGTGAAAAAAGGAGCACTAGAACTCCATTTCCTTATGCATATAGCCTCATGAGTTCTACCTTGCTTTATGAGTAGTTCCACAACGTTTCAGAAGATAGGGACAAATTGAATTAAACTGATAAAAAGAGGTACAAAATACATGCTGCTGTGCCAGTGAGTCACACTTTTCACTGATTTAACCCCACTCTTTCACCAGTAATTTCAATGCACAGAATACTAACAAAATAAACTACTAACAAAATAAACAAAAGTACATTTTTCAGCAGCAGGTAGGTCTTGAATGCAAGTATTGTACTCCGCTCCTCCCTTACAAGATGTTTAGATACTAAAACTGTCCCTGCTGTCACTTGTACTTTCCTGTTCCAGAACAGGTTCGACTCGAGCCAGGTATCTGTTGCACTCCTTACACAGTGCTTCAGTTGATTCTTAAGTTTTATATATGGCAGACTAATGCCTACTGGTAAAGTTAGCACCTCCTTAAACAAAGATGCTGTTTGAGTTACTAAAATTTATCCCATTTCCTGCCTTTGAAGAAGCAAAGAGCTAGACCTAGTAAGCCTAGAAAAGGAGAGGGAGGCTAAGAAAGATAAGCTGGGTGATAAGCCTAAGGAGAGGAGACAGAGAGAGGACTGTTGAGCAATGAAACCGTGACTGAATCAGGTTGGAAAAGGATGGACTAAAAAGGTTCTACAATCTAAGCTTAATTTCTCTCCCAAGCTTCAAATGGAATCCAGGACTCTCAGGATTTATGATCCCCTCTTTCATCGTTTGATGAAAAAGGAGTGAGAGATTAAGCGCTGAGACCAAGCGTGATGGGGAGAACAGGCGCAGAAACGACTCCAGCCAGCAGAGGTGGGACAGCCTTTGCTATTCAAGCTGTCTCGGGGCACATCCTGACAGCAATCCAGCCCGCTGTTCTTCCCGTGGAGGGAGAAGGGCATTTTGCCTATTTAAGCAGCACTTTGTTCCTCATCAATTATTCATCTGCTACATTTTTCCTGCAGCTGGGTACAGCACAGAGATAGGCACTGCCACAACCACCGCCGCCTGAAAGGTGATGTAGCTGCAGACACACACCTTGACACACTGGCTCTCACTGCTGCCTCTTCTAAAACCATGGCACACCAATGATGTTTGAAAACCCATGAGTTTGAGTACATTCCCCGACAGAGCCCAATTTAATAAAGTCAACACTTTAAATGTATTGCACTATCATTGATTTAAATTAGGCAGTTGGGTTTTGTTCAGTTTTACATGCCAGAACTCCCCCTGAAGCCCTCTCCTTTCTCCCCGACATAATTATCAGCCCTCTGAAACCAAAAAACCCTGCAACCACTGTCTCCAAGTAGTCTGCAACACTTTGAGGAACGCTATGTTAGAAATAACCTGCCTGCTGCAGAAATGATGTTGCAGGCTTGCTGATGGACATACAGTAGTCTTCTCAGGCTTTGTAAGCTGGTATGTGAAATTACTGAAACTATATCGCAATAGTTTTGTAAGAAATGCAGTTCTTCACGTTAATTTTGCCACCTGTAAACAACGTAGATTACAAACGTGAATTTTACAGTGAACGACACCGTAGCAAAATTAAAAAAGAAGTCTTTTGCTAAACATACAGTGAAAAAAAGAACCAAGCAAGGAATTGAGCCTATATCCGAAAGGGAAATAACGAAACTAACAGCTATTTTTTTCCCCCTTTTGACCACAAAGAAACACCCTCTCCGCGACAGGAGAGATCTGCAGCGCTGCCACAACAAAGGAGCCGGGACGAAGCCCGGGGCTCCCTCCGAGCCCGACCGTAACGACTCCCGCTGCTCCTCTTCGGCAACAGCGGAAGGCAAAAGCCTCGGAAGAGGGGCCTCGCAGGCGCCGGCGAGGGAACCCCGGTAACGACCTCCCGGCTGGGACGGGAGGGAGACGGTCCCCCCGCCCCGGGCAGGGAAAGCCCCCGGGAGCCGGAACGGCCGCTCCCCGCGGGCGGCCCGCGCCCCCGCCGCCCCTCAGCC